TATATATATATATATAGATATATATATATATATAGAGAGAGAGAAAACTGTGTATGCACTGCCAGTTCACGAGATACGTGCGCTGCAGGGGTTTTATTGATATATATATATGAGAAAACTGTATATGCACTGCCAGTTCACGAGATACGTGCGCTGCAGGGGTTTTATTGCAAAAAACCCGCAATTTCCTCCGTCATTTAATTCCCCGTGACCTCTCTCTCTCTCCTGACATAAATCTCTTTATCTTCTCCACTAAAATCCCCAATTCCCTCACGGCGGTCTCTCTCCTCGTCCTTAAAATCTTCATCGGAGCCGTCTGAAGCCGCGAGAGAGAACGCCGTCAGCCGCCGTCAGCCGCCGCCTTCGCCTGCTCTAGAGATCCGTCGCCTTCTCTCGAGATCCGCCGAGCCGCGCTGCTCTCGAGATCCGTCGCCTCGCGAGACTGCTCTGCAACAGCGCCGGGTCTCCGCCGTTCCACAATCACAGCAGCAAGCGTTCTTTCATCAAGTGAGTCGATCGATCTCTTTAAGTTTGCGGATGTTTTTATTTTAGATGCTGGTTGATGTGGGGCATGGATTGGTAATGAGTTCAATTATGTAATTGAGTGGGTTTAGATCTAGATTGTCATTAGTTTGTCGTAATCGACTTTGATATTTTGTCAACAGTTTGTGATCCTGATTGTCATTACTAGAAAGGTCTAACAGCAGATAAAACATCTAAAAATTAATTAGATATTTTAGATTGTCATTAGTTTTTGTAATTGAGTGCATATACAGTTTCCTCATATGACAATCTAGATTGTCTTTAAGTTTGCGGATGTTTTTATTTTAGATGCTGGTTGATGCTGGTTGCGGATGTTTTTATATTAGATGCTGGTTGATGCTGGTAGATCTAGATTCTCAGCAGTTTGTTCGGTTGTGTCGTCACTTTATATATGCATATCTAGAAAGGTCTGCTGTTGGGCGTGTCAAACGCTTGTGCACAAGTGGTTGTCTAGACAAAAATTTCTGTTCTCAATAGGGTAATTTCTCTTAATACGATATTCTGCGTCGTCAAAATCATATAATGTTATTTAATGTTTTCTACTGATAGTGATAAGGGGGATGGTGAGTTCCAGTGCTATCCCCTCTTTTAGTAAGATAATATCACTTGGTTAGTGTAAAATGTATTTCTATGATATATGTAGTAATAATTGGTGCGCATTTTCTTTAGTAACTACTATAACTAGAATCTAAATGCTAATTTTGTATTCCTAACCACAATTATAATACTAAGTTTGTTTTTCTTGAATTTATTTTCTTCCTTAGGAGTTCGGAATGGAGTCAGAAAATTCAACTACTGTAGAGTTCGGAATGGGAGAATCAAGTGTCATCGGAAGTGGAATTGCGGCCAATACTGTAAATCATCCTAAACCACTACTTGTAATGAAGTTTAATAGTTATGAAGAAGCTTATAACTATTATAACTCTTATGCATTGTTGATGGGTTTTGGAATAAGGAAGAGAACGGTAAATTACTCTCGCAAAACTAGAGAAGTGGTAGACAGAAAAGAAAGAAAGGAAGAAACGTATATGTAGCAGATGTGGTGAACTCGGGCATTATAGAACTAGCTGTAAAGTCCACGCAATGCTACTAGAATCCAGTCAGGTTTAGAACAAGCACAAGAAAAGAAAGAAAGGAAGAAACGTATATGTAGCAGATGTGGTGAACTCGGGCATTATAGAACTAACTATAAAGTCAACTTGCTAAGGTATAATTAATATTTTTTCATGAAATTTTTTTTGTTTGATTAAATTCTCAGTAATGATTATTTTGTAATGTGATTTGCAGCTAAATTCTCGGTGATGATTCAAATTTTCTCGGTAATGAAGGGCTTAATATTTTTGAGGTAATGATTTGCAGCATATGTTTACACATATTTGAAGGGCTGAATATAGTTTAATGCGCTCAATTCTCGGTAATGATTAAAATTTCTTCTCTTTTATGCGACTATCTTGTAAAATCCGAGTGAATAGCATCAATGGTGGGTGGTTGGAACACAGGTTGAGCATTCTCTTTTATGCAGCTATCTTGTAATGTGATTTGGGCTTATATTCAGCTACTTTGGTTGTAACTTTGGAGGTTAAGTCTTTCTTTGATGAAACTCTGTTTGATGTTGTAACTCATGATGTAACTCTGTTTGATGCTTGTAGCTTTGCTGTAGCTTATATTCAGCTAGCTATAGCTCAATTCTCTTTTATGCAGCTATCTTGTAATGTGATTTGAGCTTATATGCAGCTATCTTGTGATGATTATTCAGCTACTTTGGTTGCGTCTGTTTCTTGTGATTTGAGCTTATATGATTTGTGATTTAAGCCAGCAAATAGATTTTAAATCGGGGTGGTCCACCTTTCTAATCTAAACAGATATCCATCAGTGCCAAAAGATGGCCCATTATTTTTGTGTCGCATCCTTCAAAATTCTGTTAAGAGTGGACTAAGGTGTGATTATTGGTAGGGGGGACGTCTCCATCAAAATCAAATAATGATATACAAAGTTATGTATTAATCAAAGTCACCAAAACTGAACGAAACAAAGCTAAGAAGTTGAGCCAGCTAGATTTAGGTGGAAAATAATTAGATAAGTGGAAAATAATTAGATAAGCCATCGCCGCTTCTAATGCTGCTCCGTTTTGGAATTTCCAGAAGATATGAGTTGCTTTGATATTAAAGCGACATTTGATGTTTTCTCCAAACTCAAAGCTTCTCAAATTTCATCTGTGGATGCTTCCTACGAAAAGCGAGGCGTTGTAAGAAAGAACATGGGAATGTTTAGTTATTACGCGTGATTCTTTGCATAAAATCCGAACATATCATACCCCCATATCATTAAGGGTGAGAATGTGTGATGCTGGGACTTGAAACATACTTGAGATTCCAGCTATTCAATCTTACTTCCACATCAACCAAAATTTCAACTTTAAACTGTATCAAGCAGGACAAGACCAAACATCAATTTCGCTAGCAAACAACAAAAACCAGACTTTGCGAGTATAAAACAAATTACTAATCTAATTTTTCTGAAGATACAAATCCAGAACAACAGAAGTTCTCATCAACATACACTTCCACAAAGAAGGATAATACATTCTTACACTCTACTTAGCACAAATCCAATAAAAATACCAAATACAAATCCAAGAAAAATACCGAATAAAAGAGCAAATACAACAAGCTTCAACAAATCCATAATATCAATCTCAATCTTTCTCTTTTCCCGCAATTCTCCACTTGACACGGCTCTTGAAACTTGCGGCCTCACGCTCGACGGCTTTGTCTGAACAAGCACTGTCTTTGAACCTTCAAACTCCTCTTCATCAGATACCCATTTGAAGAATCCACAATTATGAACCTAGTTATCCAACCAGACTCTGCATGTTACCCTGTGAATTAGATTGTGCATCGTAAACATATCTTGTTTGACCTGCTGAATGTAGATAGCTAATGAGCCTTACCTAAGTGGCGTCTGAGTCTGCAGCAAATTGATGAGGTTATGTGCAGCATTTTAACAGAATTGGACGGAACTCGATCAAAAAGTCCAAATTCAAGTTAATTGTCGTGATAGAAGCACGCTAGGACTAACTGTTCTACTTTCTTTTCCTATTTCCTTCTGAGAAGATGATTGGAAGCAATGTAGAGATTACACCGTGATTTAAGCCTGTAGGATACTTCGCTTTATTGATCGTCTATTCCAGCCTCCAGGTACCAATAAAAACATCTAGAAAATCTGACTAACAGCGCGTAAGAAAAAATGGGAGAAATTGTCGAATTACTCACGTAAATCAAACATCTAGCGACAGCATAAACAGCTTTAGGTCTATCACTGGTTTTGTAAACTACCTGCCTCACTGGTTTTGTAAACTACCACAACCAGTGAGTGAATTCTTCAAAATCAAGATGAAGGGGAAAAAGTTTATGAACTTTATACCTATATGATATATGAAGGATATTTAAAAAGACAGTTTCCACCAGCAAATCCAGGGACACCTAAATGCCTATAATTACATGGAAGATTTTTAGCATAATATAGCATTGATTGAAGAAGTAAAAAGCATTAACAAGCCCTTACCAAGTTATTGTGCCTTGTTCCTATTTATCACAATTGCTAGCAAATGACTTATATTCCATCATTTTATTACAAAATTTGTAATTAGAACAAACAGAGGGAAACTCGGCAAGAGAGGCTACAATCACAACAATGGATGCCTAACCTGAAATTTATCAACTTCTACTAATATCATGAAATAACCAACTGTCCACGAAAGACTGCATGTTATGGTTCATAAAACAACTTAAAACAGTAAA